GGACAACACTTGACTGACATTATTTTCCATCATTAATTCAAGAGTGAACTACTATTATTACTTCATTGCTGTAATTGAAAGAAAATTATCTTGAAAATAAAAAATGTTATGCTGGAGGTTATGCTATATCTTCGTGAAAAACATGCTGTACAGGGTGTCAAATTTTGGTTGTACATAAGGGATAACTCGATGCTACTAGAGTTATGCCCGTATTACATCTGTGTATTTTTCCGTGTAGTAGTAGTAGTAGTTGTAGTAAGTAGTAAACATGCTTTATTGTCAAAGATAACATTGATCCTTATTAACAAAGCTAAGTCTTAAATATATCGCAATAAAAAAATCCATTAAGTAGACACAAAAATCAAATATAAAGATTAAATATAAAAAAATATAAAACACACACACATCAGTCCCACATCCAACATTCAATCCAAAAATCCTACGTTATCTAAAAAATACAACTAGCTTAAATTAAATTAGAAAAACATGAATGAAGGTACTTAATAAAATCAGAAATACAGATAATACATTAAAAATTGTTAGCACACTATTCATGTAGTTCAGGGTGCCGACATTATTTTGTTTTTCATAATGCTGATTTATGTTGCGTTTGAAGTTTTTCGGTTGTCACCCTGAACTTTTACATGAATAAATACACGGAAAAATACACAGATGTAATACGGGCATTAGGAGGATGCGGTTTTTGCAAACGGTGGTAACTTTTTTTGCCAACCGAAAGATGCCACCGACAGAATTGTCATCGCCTTTTTTGTTTTTCAGATAGAAGGTGTTTTTGAAAATATTGCATTTTGGGAGAGCCCTTGGTATATCTCAGTTCTCTCATAAGATGATAAGTGATCAGGTGACAATGAATTCTTATAGAAATTTTCACGTAGATTCCAGTGGCGTAGTCAGTTTTTCTCTAGAAGTGTTAGTTTTTGTATTATGAACCAAACCAAACCTGTTTTTCCAAATAAGATATCCTCTATATTATTAACTCATTGAATAGCTCTGCTTTTGCTTATTTCAATGATTTAAAGTTCAATAGGTTTGTCTCTAACAGTTTTCGAGCAAAATTGTTTTGTTTTTGTCATAAGAAACAATGTGTTAGAAAGAGACCTTTCTCATTTTCCTTACAGATATAAATAAAGTACTTTTCAAACACATTGTTTTTTAGAACAAAAACAGACATAATAGAGATATGTACCATTGTGACCAAAAGTATCTGGGACACAAATAATGCATAATAATCTCCTGGACTAATTGTACTGTCATTCATTTCAATGCATTTAAATCATAGTTTGACAAATATTTGACAATAAAATTCATATAATAGGGCAAGAGCTAATGTAATGCTGTCCCAGTTACTTTTGGTGACGATGGTACCTATCGAACTTCATATTATTGAAATCAGCAAATATAGAGCTATCCAATGAATTTTTAATATGCAGTGCGTCTCATTTTAAAAAATGTATGTTTGGTACTTAATTCAAAAACTATCACTTCTAGAGAAAAACTGACCGCCAATGGAATCACCGTAGAAACATCTATAGAACCCGTTGTCACCTTCTGGACCACTTATGAAAGATACAAGAACCCTTTTCATGTGGCTCCGGTTTAACAAACCGCAACATACCGCTCAAATTTCAAATTACAAAAGAGAGCACTCAGGTATTTATGTCGGGCTGGCTGTAGGCAGAGTTGCAGGGCACTGTTTGAGCAGGAGGCTGTTCTAACTGTTCCGGGTATTTTTATTTTGGAGACGTCTTCATTAATTTTTAAGAAATTTAAGGGTAATTCTAGAGAAACACATTATAATCTTAGGCAGAGTAATTTGCCTCTGCCCATACCAAAGTCTTCACTAACAAAAAATTCTGTTATATACGAGAGTATAAAGATTTTTAATAAGTTACCTCATGAAATAAAGAGTATTCATGAGCTTAAAATATTTCGAGAAAAACTTAAAATATATTTGATTCGAAAGGTGTTTTATAGTCTCCAGGAATTTTACGATTCATCCTAATTAGTCCTAAATTTTGTTAGTTTGTGATTATATTTGTTAATTTTATGATTTGTTTTATATTTATATTTATATTGGTTCATATTCTTGTGATATTTTATTATTTTTGTTATTTTAGTTGTGTCTGTCCGTGGCATTCTGATATTTAATTAGTGTCACTTGTATTGATATTTTAACGTGTTTCATAAGCATAATTGTAATAATTGAAGATTTGCTCCTCGATTTGCTCTTTTTGTTCCTATTATTTAAAAAAAAAAAAATACACATATATACCTAATATACAGGGTGTCCCAAAAAGATACCGACAAACTTTAAGGGGTAGTAGGGGACATCAAAACAAGCATTTTTGTTTATATAAACACATGTCCGCAAATGAGCCATTTGGGCTGTAGAGCAAAAAAACTGTTTGGTATCTAGTTTTATTCTTCGCAATAATTAAATCACTATTTACTTATTAATTTTGCTTTAATAGCAAATAAATTATGGTTTACAATAATAATTCAACTCGCGAACTCTTTGGAATATTCCGGGAATAGCTTCTACATGGGTACAACTCGCCAGTTTCCTTGCTATCAGATCTTCCCCATTACGAACAGGTGTTTCGTAGACTAAACTTTTCATTCAATGACCCGACGGTGTAATCTTTGCATTGAAGTAAATGGTCAACATTTTGAACAATTATTCTAAACCATAATTTATTTGATAATAAAGCAAAATTAATAAATAAACAGTGATTTAATTATTGCAAAGAATAAAAGTATCAAACAGTTTTTTTGCTCTACAGCCCAAATGGCTCATTTGCGGACATATGTTTATATAAACAAAAATGCTTGTTTTGATGTCCCCTACTACCCCTTGAAGTTTGTCGGTATCTTTTTGGGACACCCTGTATATATATATATATATATATATATTGTTAAGGGTGAATGCGGAGTGTGTCCTCTGAATAGTAGTTTAGTTTAGGATAAGTCGCTTTGTCAATGGATCTTTTTGAATTTATGACAATAAAGCTTTTTTTGATTTGATTTGAAATTCAAGTGGTAGGTATCTATCACGTCACTTTTTAACCGGGTTAGAAAACGGTAAAGTCCGTTTTTTTTTAAAGATAATTCCCCAAGTCAAAAATTTAGTAACTATGTTGGCAACACAAGCCTTTTCTGCATAAAAAATTTGAAGCATTGACAATTTTACATTGTATTGCCAACATAATGTCAGTTTGACTTTTATCTTTAAAAAAAAAAACAGATTTTATGTCATTTCTCTAATTGTTTTGTAACCCGGTTAGTTAACCGGAGCCACGTGAAAAGAACTAATGGGTGTCCCAAAATGCAACATTTTCAAAAACACAATAACCCTAAATAATAAAAGGCGATGACATTTTTGTTGACAGCATCTTTCGTTTGACAAAAAAGGAACCAACAATCGCAAAAGCCGCATCTTTCTAGAGAGTTCTCGTACTGTCCATAAAATACCGTAACGTTATTTGACAAGTATGACAGTTCTTACGGTATTAGCGTTAGCGGAGCCCTCTACGTAACGGGAATTAGAGGATGCTTTACCGTAACGCTATCCTATGTCAAAATTAGTTTAAGCTTCATTTACTTCTGCAAGAACAGCAAATTCTAATAATTTCTCCACAAAAAACAGCAAGTAAAAATTTATCAAACTCAGAATTTTCAGGATAAATAATAAGTTGAGTTAGATCACTCAACTCAGCTGTCAAAATGTAAACAGAATAAGGGATAATAGTTATTTTCCTAACAAGTGCGCAAAGTGTTACTTTTCCGCACGCAAACACAGTTATACGGATACGTGTTTGCGTGCGGAAAAGACACTTTGCGCACGTGTTAGGAACAAAATTTTTCCTACGAGCTTCATATCAGGTAGGTAATAACAAAAATTAAAAAAAAAAAAATGATAATTTGTTTAATTATTTTTAATTAACTTGAAGGGAACCTATGCATTTATCAAAAAATTACATAACAAAAAAAATAACAGAAAATCCTCGTCAGAGCTGTTCATCTTAAAGCGTTTAAATTTGATGAGAAAGTTTGTAGATTTTTGCATAAATAGAGAACAAATCTGATGTGTCAAAGTTAATTTATAATTGGTGTTTGTATAGATGTTGGCTGATATAGAAATAGAGGAAAAATTTGTCATCATGTGTCAAAGTCGACAGGTGCACTTATTGTTGCTTGACAATTATAATTACTTTTCGGCACTCAGTGCGGATAATGCCTGTATCCGCACTGAGTGCGGAAAAGTGTAACTTTGAGCCCGGAAATGCGTGCGGAAAAGTACTACTTTGCGCAAGCTCGTAGGAAAAATTATTTTTGTGTCTTCGTGTCCGAGAACTATAAAATATCATGTAAAATGCTGTATTGTTAGCGGTACCGTATTAGCGTAGCGTTTGAGGCACGACAACTCTCTAATAACAGAGATATCCCTTATGTCCAACCAAAAGGGGACAACCTGTACAACTGCTCAATCAGTGATGTGTAGAAGAAAGATAAAAATACTAAATAGTCTTAACACATTGATTATGGTAATATTTTTTAATTTGTTAACATTCACAATCCTTATACAATCACTCACAATCGCTCACAATCATTCACAATCCTCACACAATCAGCCACAATCATTCACAATTCTTACACAATCAGTCACAATCATTACACAATCATTCACAATGGTACACAATAATTCACAATCTTAGCAAATTTCCTTGAAGATTGTGGAATTTCCTCGGGAATTTCACAGTAGGTGTACACATTTTGGGTCAGCTATTCACCCTCGGATGTGAAGCATTTTGTTGGGGTTGTGAAGATTATGGGAGAAAACGGGGGAGAAAACAATTCAGGAAGAACAGAGAAAATGAAATAAAAGTATGAATAATAACTATGATTATGATGCTTTCAGTGTGTTTAACAATAATACGGTAAAACTATCAAACTCAAAAGTGTGGATTGTGGATACATACCAATGACTCTAGGCCTCCAGCCTTTTGATTTTCCTTTGTCTTTTGCCTCTCAACTTTCGCCAACTCTCGCAACTTTTGCTTTTCATCCTCTTTTTGCTTTCTCAACAATTCAACTTCTTTCAAAATATCACCCTTAAAGGGGCAAATATTAGGAACTTGAATCACTTTCGGCCTGCCCTTGTTTTTGGGATTTTTCTTCGCTTCTCGCCTCGCTTTCTTGTTGTGGTCTCTGACTTTTTTCTCGATCTTGTATCGTTGAGCGGCGGGTTGTCGCTTCGATTGCTTTTCTGTTTAAGATAGTACTATAAGTTTATGATTCAAATGAATGTGCACTGTACTTACTAGATCTGTTTTTAGCCATTTTTGAGAAAATTAAAAATAATCACATAGGCCTACTAGGCATAAATGAGAAAACACGAGTTTGAAAAAAAATTAGGTTATGGTTGTCAATGTAGAGGAGAGGAAGGCTTATCGATATTCATGGGTATCGAAAACTGTGAATCGATACGATAATCTCTTATACGATACGATATTTCTGAGCTTCGAATAGAAAGAATTTTGTTTTTCTTCTGAGAGCTACTACAAACAGAAAAGAGTTCTTCATTGGATCACGTAGTGCAAAAAAAAAAACTTCTACTTATTAATCCACAGTCTATATTAAAATTGTTCACCTATGCCCCCATACTACCATGAGCCTTTACTACTCTATTGAGCGACGTTGTCAGATCGTGCAAATATTATTCGTTTTGGTTGATTTTGGGTAGGAACTTTCATTCATCTGCTCCATTCAATAACGCTCTAGGGATTTTTAGATAAAAACACTTGACAACAGCGAGTCCAAAGTTCTATCTAACCTAGAAGTAAAACACCAAAATAGTAATTTTGAAATTTCAAATTATTGAAAAATTTATGTTGATGATTTTCAATGAATCAAAAATACGATCTCTAGATAAATTACAAACTAGTGCCAGTGAATATTGTTATTGAATGAAAATGTTGAAAGCAAGTTGTAGAAAAATTCAGATAATGGTCAAACTTATGAATGGGACGAAATACGGAAGTTGTGGATTCAATAGTACGCGGTCATATGCTAGTTCAGAAACTGTGACTATAGGAAAAATCGTAAAGGACTTGAAAAAGGTGGAAAAGGAGGAGTTTGTACCTAGATTATATTGTAAGAACACAATTATTATAAGCGAATACTTACTTTTCTTAATTTTTTTATTACAATTTGGTGGAGCATTTCTGAGGGGTTTTTCCATTGGTTTTCCACCTTACAAAATTTGTACACCAATTAACAGTACTAACTGAGATATTTCCATGTATTATTAACAGATATTTCTATGTACCTAATAATAAGTTATTGCCAACTATTTCTATGTATTAACAAAATATTTCCACATATTGTCAGGTATTTCCCTAGTGCTAGTATTATCACATATTACTAGGTATTGCCATATGCTATTGATAGACTAAAATCAAATATTGAATCATCAACCAATGACATTAACATATATTGCCTAATATCTACAAGTATTGACATATATTACCTACATAATTAACAAGTAGGTATTGCATAGTATTGACACTATTGACATTCCAAGTATTTACCTGGTACTGACATATTATATTAACCAGTGATTTGTACACCAATTAACAAGGTGAAAAACCCCTCGAAAATTTTCAGTTTCCATAGATGAATGTGTGAAAGTTTGAACATTATATTACTTTTACTTATGAGCGTTCGGTAACGTACACTTTATCGTACCCGAGGGGTGAATAGCTGACCCAAAATGTGGACACCGACTGCCAAATTCCACAATCTCTAAGGAAATTTGCTAAGATTGTGAGCGATTGTGTACGATTGTGAGTGATTGTGTACGATTGTGAATGATTGTATAAGGATTGTGACTGATTGTGAGCGATTGTGACTGATTGTGACTGATTCTGTCATGATTGTGAGTGATTGTGACTGATTCTGTCATTATTGTGAGAAAAGTGAACACGAGAAAACAGCTCTGGAATATTAATTGGGTTAGAAAAAAATAACAAAATATCAAAAGTAAATTTTTTCTGTAATTATAACAAATTGAAAAATATCACCATAAGCAATGTGTAAAGAATATTCAGTTTTTTTAACTTTCTTATACACATTACTCTGATTGAGCAGTTGTACAGGGTGGCGCAGCGGAAACGCATGTTTTTCATATAGTTATAAGCAAATATAACATTTTCAATCTTCAAGATAATTTTGTTTCAATTAGGTACTCGATTAGGTACAGCTAAATGAAGTGATAATAGTGCACTTTTCAATAAATAATGAAAAATAGTGTCAGTCAAGGAGTGTCGTCCTGCTTTGGGGTCACACATCTTCAACCCCTCTTGAAAGTTGTTCATCACACTTGATACATGCGTTTCCTCTGCGCCATTTACGGAATCAGAGTTTTTTAAATAGGTATATACCGGGTGTTTGAATTTAGAAAAAAATCATCACAGACAGACGTGAAAGACAAAAGTTTTAATAAAACACGAAGATGATGACAACCTCGATGACAACTAATAGAGAATTTGTTGTGGGATAGATACTTTTTCCAAATTAGGCTTTTATTTGCTTAAAAATATTGTTATTTTTTTATGACTCAACCTTGATATTGTAAATGGATAATTTTTTAAATGGTTTGTACCATATACAGGGTGTTACAAATTCGGGAGTAAGTATGCGGATCTCGGTATCCATAATAGATACAGGTTCGGTCAAATTGGGGCAAAGTTACGCAGTTTCTTGCTCACCAAAATGCCATTTTGAAATCTGGAAAATTCCGAATACTTCCGGAGGTATTTGGAAAAAACGAAATTTTGCAATTTTTTTTTCCTGTGCTTATTTGAAGCGATACTTCAAAATAAATGACACTTCAGCATTGCCACTTTTTGTCCTCTACAATATGGTGTTCTCAAATTTGGAATCCGACGTTTCGTCTTTGGACCAACATCATCAACTTTATACTTCTAAATACGGATCTGGATTTTTTATTTAATTCTTTGTTTGTTTTGATACACCATTCCATTGAAAAAATCAGCTAGCAAAGAACTACACAAAAAGCCAGAGCTGTATACAAAAAAATAAAGTTAATGGTGAGGTGTGGCCCAAAGACAAAACTCGGATTTCAAATTTGATAATGCCATATTGTGGAAAAAAAAAATGGCAACGATGAAGTGCAATTCATGTTGAAGTATCTCTTCAAAAATAAGCTCAGAGGAAAAAATAAAAACCGTTTCGTTTTTTTAGTACCTATCCGAAATTAGCAAAATTTCGAAACAGTATTTTGGTGAGCAAAAAATTGCGTAACTTTGCTCCAATTTAAATGAACCTGCATCGCTTATGTTTTCCAGTAGCCGATATACAATTTCACTAGTCGACACGAGTCGAGCGTCTCGTATAGGCAGCATCAACGTTATTTCCAAGTCGCATCCTTCGACATCGACCAATTAGAATCCGCATCCAGATCCATATACTTACTCGTGAATTTGTAAACACCCTATACAATTTTTTTTTCTACAACATCTAGGTCTGGATTTTCAGGCCATCTGAGGCGAATTCGTTTTGGTTTTGGTTTTTAACCTCGTTTTTAGCTCTCACGCACAGCAAGCATCTACCTCAATGGCAACCAAACATTTCTGAGGTTGGGGGCAATGAGGCTGCAGGTGGATATACAAAAGTAAGCTCATCAAACAGGCTTATTGGCTTTTTATTATAGGCGAAAATGAAGTAAATAAAACTATTTATAGGGACCTCACGTGCGACAGATGGTAGATTGTGTAGCGATTGTGAGAGATTGTGTAACGATTGTGAGATATTGTGCAACGATTGTGAGAAATTGTGACACGATTGTAAGAGATTGTGTGTGATTGTGTAACGATTGTGTGTGATTGTGTAACGATTGTGACAGATTGTGTGAGATTGTGACAGATTGTGAACGATTGTGATCTGATTGTGAATGATTGTGTGAAGATTGTGAGAAATATGTACACCGACTGCAAGAGCTATTCACCCCTCGATCGTACCTATTTGCAAGGGGAAAGTACCACTTCAAGTAAACCATTTTTTAGATAAGAATGATCTCCCACAAACCACTGCCCACCATCTGAGATGGATTATGCAAAAAGACATTCTAGGCCAAGATGTGTTTCTAATAGGCCCTCCAGGGCCAAGGAAACGAGTATTAGCAATGCAGTATATTGAGTTAACCAATAGAGAACACGAATATGTTGCTTTGAGTAGAGACACAACGGAAAGTGACCTAAAACAAAGACGAGAGATTGTTAAAGGGACAGCCAAGTATTTTGATCAAGTAATATTAGGCCCTACAAAAAATTATTGCACATTTCTCAATATATTTTTTTTAGAGTGCTGTCAAAGCAGCAGTAGAAGGAAGAATCCTAGTACTAGAAGGTGTAGAAAAAGCTGAAAGAAACGTCTTACCAGTATTAAACAATCTATTGGAAAACAGAGAAATGCACCTTGAAGATGGTAGGTTACTTATTCCGGCAGAAAGATATGACAAATTACTCGAAGAACATGGTGCCATAGAATTGGACAAATGGAAGCTGGTCAGAGTCGATGAAAATTTTCGAGTTATAGCTTTAGGATTGCCAGTTCCAAAGTGAGAGCCCAGAATTTTTAATATCTAGCTTTGTAATTTGAATTTTTTTGTTAGGTACCAGGGAAATCCTTTGGATCCTCCTTTGAGGTCTAGATTCCAGGCCCGGGATGTTTCTAGTTACACATATCAGGTAGGTAATAGGAATTGTAGTTCTTAACGAGTGTTAAAATTTCCTGCCGTTTGGGGTTTAAGTGGTGAGGGACATAAGCTAAATTTACATGGAGTCTCAAAACCATCGCTAAAAGTTTCTCTACAGATAATCAAGAGCCAGTAATAGTCTAAATTTTAATTATTACCACCTCTAGAAACATTTTGTAGGCCAGTATAGTCAGTAGCAAACCTAGCTTCATTTTCTCTCAGTTAACCATGAGTACTGAAAACTGCCATTAAACTAAATAAAAATCAACTAGATTAAGCCTCTTTCACAATAATTTTTATAAATCTCAAAAAACACTTCAACAAAATCGATTAACAGAAATCTTACTGCTTAAAATACTACTATCACAATCGCTACTAAACTTTTTAGGCAAATTAGGCATAAAGATATGCAACTGTCTCTTTACTATACTTTTGTCCTCATCTTCCACATCAGCATCTTCTTTACAATCCTCCACGCCAACTCTGGGCGTCAAAACATGATAGAAATTACTCACAGAATCTCCAGTTTCTTCTTTACTATAAATTACAATATTTTCCTGTTGCCTTGGAGAATCGTTTTTCAAAATTGAATTGATATTACAATCTACACATTGTTCTTCTAGTGCTGGGGCCTTTACTTTTTTGTTATTATTGTCGCATGGTTTTGAAGTAATACACTCTCTTTTGTCAGTTGAAGCATTATTTGTGGCCAAGTCAAGCCAAATCATTACTCTTTCACTTAAAGCATTATCTAATGAGGAGTTTTCTTGATGTTCAACGGTATTTGATTTTATTAAATTTGGAGGCCTAAAGCCTCGAATAGTATGAAATGTAATTTCTTTGTTTAAATCTCTATAGCTAACGTTTTTATTTGTGGGAGTTTGTGTCCAAGTTTTTGGTCTTTCATTGGTTTTTTCGACAATTTTGTCATTGGTTAGTTTTTTAGTGTTTTTAAAAGTTTTAATTCCGCTCAAAAGCACCCGAACTGAAGAAACTTTCAAATTGACTGTGTTTGTAGGAGTTTTTGAAGTTCTGTGGCTGTTTTGGCTGCTTAAACATTGCTTGGATCTCGTGGATGATAGAATTTCGGGTTGGTTTTCTTTGGTTTTGTCCAGGATGACGTGGTGCTGGCCATCTTTCCATACGGTGCGGACGTAGAGAGGTCTTCTGCTCGATTCCCAATGGGTTACCATGATTTTGTTAGCTACTTGTGGGATTTGGAATTTTCCATTTTGAATCTGAAAAATAATTAAGTATTTTTTTTATTGATCCAAAAAAAATAAACTCTTCGATTTGGAAGCTCAAACTAAAAGTGACCCTCTGGAAAAAGAAGAAACTATGAAGACCTTATTGAACAAATTAAGAAGTATCAGCAGGAATTAGTCTTAGCAATGGAAAAATCTTAGAAATTTTTTTGGAACTCAATGAAAAACATAAGCAATTGAAATAACAATCTGATTATGTTGCAGAACAAGAAAATAAACAATAGAACCCATATAAAAAGAAGAAACCCTCAAAAACTCACAGGAAAAAATAGATTCGGGACAAAACGGAGAAATTAAAAAGTGCAGCATGAATTAGCCTCAGCAACTGAGAAATTGGAGACACTTTCTTTCAAGCTCCAAGAAAACTGTAAGCAGTTGAATACAAAATCTGAAGATGTTGCAGAACTAAAAAGTAAACTTGCACTATATAAAAGCAACAATAATTACCACTGAAAGCAAGATAATAAAATTTGATGCTACATGTAGATCATCCTCATTCAACAAGAGATTGTGGATGATAGATTAAATCTAATTTTCAAAAATAATTAGAGCAAAGGTGCAATTTCGGCTATAAAACTCTTGCAGGAAAATATCAGTAAGAAAAATGCATCCCCCAATTTAAATGCAAATTAATTAACAAGAAAAACCCTATTTTTAATTAATTTATTAAAAAACTCACCCCATCTAGCCTTAATTGAAATTGATCCTGTCACGAAATACGATTTAAAAAAAGGGATCTCGGAACGAGGTTAAACGAAACAGTGCAACCGCCTTGTCACCGCACAATACGACAGGAAATAAAGAAAGAGGGACAAAATTGTTTAGACTTTAGCCTGCCTTTCATGCGGTCTCCTGATCTGGGACAGCATGGCACACCACCGTGACGAATTTGCGCAATGGGGGATGCAACCGGTGATAGGGATTTGTCAGATTTATACAGGGCGAAATCACAATAAGAAAGTTGTGTCACACTTGAAACACATTCTTGAAAAAACTGACCAATTTTCAAACCCATGTTTGAGCTGTCAAATTTCAAATTTCTGTGCGACATCTTCTAATCATCATATTTATGTTAGTACTTTTTTTTCTCAGGAACAATGGAAGATTTTTTCTGAATGTATCTTATTACCAACACACCCTTTACACTTCTTATAATCAGTTTCGCTCTATCTAAATATGAAACATCCCTTGAATCCAATTTTAAGCTTCCCCAAATTTTGAATTTTTGTGAAAGGAAAAAAACTTGCGATCAATTAACTGGTCAAGTCAGCTTGTTCTTTGTTAGTTAACTTTTTCCCCTTGACCGATAAAACAAATAAAAATCTGATTGTATTAGCTATGGCTCATTACAAAACTACCCTCTTATTTACACCGCCTAAAATCAGATAACGATTAAAGTTTGGAAAACCAATTCAAATATACGACTCAAGTTGTATTAGGCAAACAATTTACACAGACTTCTATTATAATTTGACATGCGATTTGTTTCGGGTTAAATTGGTTTCACCATCTTTTCCTAAAATGATTAAAATAACGATGGAATTTTTTGCATTTTAATGGCATATAGGATTTGCGTAGGAAAAGTTGCTATTATTTGAGTTTTGGAAAATTCATTGTATCAATTTTCCAGTTCTAATTTCGTTATATACAATATACAAAATATCTACCAAGCATTATTTTATTTATTTCCACTAGTTTATTTGTGCCAAAATTGTCAGCCAAGTTTCCATAATAATTAGTCAGAAAGTTTGTCTCCACGCGAAAAAGCCATTTGCAACTAATTCATGTCAGCTTCAAATTGGGGGCATTCTTTGAAGGTTGGAAAATGCAAATTGTTTTAAATCAAATATCTTTAGGAATGGTACAATGAACTTACCAGTACTTATCCAGATGCTCCCAAAGACAAAATCGAGAAACTTCTTTCATGTGCCTTTGCCTTGTTGAACCAAGAAACTAAGTTTATGGGATTGCCAGACTTTCCTGTTGATAATTTGTCTATTGCTGCTGAAATATTGGTAAGAATACCTGCAACAAATAATTAAATAATATTCAACAAATCCTTGTAATTATTGGCAATACTTACACTTACTTGTTTCAGAACAAAAATCCAGAACTAGAAGTTTTCGATTTACTTTACAGACTGTACCCGTACAAAGTGTTCCTTTCCGATAATCTTTCAAATATTGAAACATTATTAAAAACATTCATTAAACTTCCTGATGAAAATCACGAAAAATTTGGACTCACCACAAAGTTAAAAGATTTCCTCAAAACTAAACTTCAAAACCAATGTAAGTAAAAACCTAAACAACTTAACTGTTTGATAAAATTTTGCTTATAGCCAATCAAGTAAAAGAATACATAGAAACCAACTACCAAAACCAGGTATTACAAAGTATGCTCCAAACAGCCCAAATAGCAGATTTTTGCCTCATCGGACCAAGCGGTTCTGGAAAAACTATGCTCCTCAAACAAATAGGGGCCTTATTAAATAGAGAAATAGAAAATATTGTATTATATCAAGATATGACCTCAAGGGACCTTATCCAACAGCGAACTACTTTGGAAAATGGAGACACTGTATGGAGCTTTTCGCCTTTAGTTAAAGCAGCTTTAGAAGGAAAAATGGCTATTTTAGATGGGATTAATAGAATTCATCCAAGTACTCTTTCAGTTTTACACAGGTACTATAATTCATCAATCATTAATCATTTCCATTATAAACATTTTATTAACTAGTGCACATTTATGCCAGATTGGTTCACGACAGAGAACTTCAACTTTACGACGGTAAACGCCTAGTAAGCCAGGACCGATACAATTTCCTTATAGAAACACTAAAAATAACAACAGAAGATCTCACCAAAAGCGGCATTTATCCAATCCATCCAGATTTCAGGATAGTAACAGTTGGAGAACCTCCAAATCCACAATCCAAAGAAGGCAACTGGATTTCTCCGGAAATGTTGAGCTTGTTTGTGTTCCATGATTTAAGGACTTTGAGCAAAAGCGAAGAAATGCACGTTATCACATCAAAATTTGGCCCAATTGACAAATATTTGCATAAAATACTGAATTTAGCTCATTTGCTTCGAGAAAATCAGGATCAATCACTGAAAAACTTGGCTGGACATCTTTCAACTAGACAACTTATAAGAATAGCTGCTAGAATAAAGCAATTCCCTACAGAAAATGTTTATGGAATTCTCGAAGAGACTTTTATGATTAAATTTTTGCCTTCAATAACAAGGAAATCGTTGGAAAAACTTATCAGTAATGTTGGGATTATACCTCCAAATAGTACTATAGACCACGGAGAAGAGAATATCAGGCTAGAAGTGAAGAATAATGTTCTTACTATTGGTAAGTTTACTTGGCATAGCAGTCCTGATCCAATTCCTTTCTGCAACATTCTGGATATCGTCTCGCCATAGTCTCATCCTGTATGCCCATTTATGGTCATCCTGCCTGGCTATATGACCAGCCCATCTCCCTTTCAGTTGTGCCACAAGCCTTAGTACGTCCGTCACTTTGATTCTTCTACGAATTTCCTCGTTGCGAACTTTATTCCTCAAGGTGATTCCTATCATAGCCTTCTTCATTGCTCGTTGGGTGTTTTGCAGCCTGATTTTGCACAATTTTCCCCTTTGTTTAAAGCATATATTTCCTTAAGGGGCAAACCACCTAGGAATTATTTGCCAAAAATGTGGAGAAATTAGAGGAATTTGTGGGAAATTTAGAGGAATTTGAAGGAAGGAACTCATCCAAATTTATGAGAATTTGGGGAATTTATAGAGAATTTCGAGGAATTTATGGGGAGTATAGGAGAATTTGTGAGGAATTTATGAGGAATTTAGAGGAAATTGTCAAATTTAAAAAATTCAAAAGAATAATGAATACAGTTTTTGTAGGCTAATTTCCCAGACTTTTCATTTTGTTATTTTCAACTGAAACAATTTGAAATTTTGGGAGAATGAGCTTCTCACCTTCCTCTTTACATGCAAAAAGTTTCAAATTTCTCCCTTCACTAGTTTTCCAGGAAAACTTTGAAATATGTGAGACTGTATTTTCCACTAATTCAGTTTTTGTTGGTTGATTTCCAAGATTTTTCATTTTGCTGTTTTCTACTGGAAAAAAATTGATATTCTGGGAAAGTGAGCTTCTAACCTTTCTCTTTACATGCAAAAAGTTTCAAATTTCTCCCTTCATTATTTTTCCAGGAAAACTTTGAAATGTGTGAGACTGTATTTTCCACTGATTCAGTTTTTGTAGGTTGATTTCCAAGATTTTTCATGTTGCTGTTTTGCACTGGAAAAATTTGAAATTTTGGTAAAATGATGTTCTCACTTTCCTCTTTACATGCAAAAAGTTTCAAAATTTTCCCTTCATTAGTTTTCCAGGAAAACTTTGAAATATGTGGGACTGTATTTTTAATTAATTCAGTTATTGTTGGTTGATTTCCAAGATTCCTCATGTTATAATTTTTTACTGGAGAAATTTGAAATTCTGGGGAAATGAGCTTTTAACCTTTCTCTTTACATGCAAAAAGTTTCAAATTTCTCCCTTCATTAGTTTTCCAGGAAAACTTTTAAATGTGTGAGACTGTATTTTCAACTAATTCAGTTTGTGTAGGTTGATTTGATGATGTTCTCACTTTCCTCTGTACATGAAAAAAGTTTCAAAATTTTCCCTTCATTAGTTTTCTAGGAAAACTTTGAAATATGTGGGATTGTATTTTCAATTAATTCAGTTATTGTAGGTTGATTTCCAAGATTCCTCATGTTATAATTTTTTACTGGAGAAATTTGAAATTCTGGGAAAATGAGCTCTTAACCTTTCTCTTTACATGCAAAAAGTTTCAAAATTTTTCCTTCATTAGTTTTCCAGGAAAACTTCGAAATGTGTGAGACTGTATTTTCCACTTATTCAGTTTTTGTAGGTTGAGTTCCAAGATTTTGCATGTTGTTGTTTTCTACTGGAAAAATTTGAAATTTTGGGAAAATGAGCTTCTCACCTTCCTCTTTACATGCAAAAAGTTTAAAAATTTTTCCTTCACTAGTTTTCCAGCAAAAATTTGAAATGTGGAGACTGTATTTTTAACTAATTCAGTTTGTGTAGGTTGATTTCCAAGATTTTTCAAGTTGCTGTTTTCCACTGGAAAAATTTTAAATTTTGGGAAAATGATCTTCTCACCTTACTCTTATTTTACATGCAAAAAGTTTCAACATTTTCATTTTTTTTAGAGGAATTTGTGGGGTATTTGGAGAAGTTCGTGGTAGGTTATTTGGAGGAATTTGTGATGGAGTATCTGGAAGAATTTTGAGGAATTATGCGTAAAAAATTCCCCTACCCCTCGTATTTCTTGTTGCGATTTGAATACTATTTGAGATGTTATTGCAGATTTTGTCTATTCCTGGTGTGGGTATTGGCGGTCCACCTAGTTCAGAATTTAAAATACGTTGAAAACTAGCTTTGTTCCGACTGAAAGCTTCAACGGTTGGGTATTTTTGTTGCTACATTAATTTACTCTTTTCGAATCCTGTATTTATTTTAATGATTGCTTGGACTATACGGTGATCCTGAAATATATCCTTTCTATTCGTCAGGATATAGTCAAGTTTATTCTTAACTTTACCGCATGGGCTTCTGCAAATCCATCTTCTCTGTAGAGGCTTTTGAAAGAAGGAATTCATGCAGTATAAATTTTCATTCCTACAGTAGTTTATTAGTATATCTCCTCTTTCGTTTCTATGACCAAGACTAAACTTGCCCACATTTGGGATATCTTTACTGCTGTTTTGGCCGATCTTAGCATTAAAATCCCCCATTATTATAACAAATAACTTGGCCTTCTCACTGTTTTTCGCTGTAGTCTATCTGTAAACTATATATGTTGTTAACTTTTAACAAGATGTATGTACAGGGTGTCCAAGATTCGATGGTTTTGGGGGGTTTCGGGTACTTCTAGAGGAGTTTGGAAAAGATCTGACCCCACTTGCGAGCCTCAATTTTCAAGAGAAATTGGCTGGTGAAAACCACATCTCAGTCGTATTTATGCTACAAGGGGTTTTTGAAAAAAATTGCGGTCCATAACTTTTTTATTTATGGTGTTTTTGTCAACTTTTGTCCCCTTGTAGCTTAAAAACGAATCGATATATCAAAATGCGGGTTTCACCAGTCAACTTCTCTTGAAAATCTAGGCTCGCAAGTGGGGGTCAAATTTTTTCCAACTCCTCTAGAAATACCCGAAACCCACCTAACCCATCGTATCTTGGACACCCTGTACATAAGTCGGGGTGAAATGGATCGCATGTTTGTTACTTTGTTTTTTAGGCGTCTATTTATCATCAAAGCAACTCCTCCTACTTGATAATTTGTCTCTGAGTTATTCTGACACAAGTGTCCAGATTTGAGGGAGAGGTAGTTGATTCTGCCTTTAGTCTTGTTTAACTAAGACCTAAACCTATTATATAATTTAAATTAAACTTTTTTTTGTTTAGGCAACACCTCTGTCCCAGTTTACCAAACGTCAAACCTCACTAAAGTACCCAAAGTACTCTTCTACGATATTCCGCAACATGTTAAGCTCATGGAAAGTCTTTTGCAAGACTTTCAATTGGGCTATCATTTGCTTTTAGTAGGAAATCAAGGGGTTGGCAAGAATAAAATTGTCGATAGGTTTTTGGAGCTTTTAAATCGGCCTAGAGAATATATTCAGTTACACAGAGATACCACCGTTCAAACCCTTACAACTCAACCAACAGTCAAAGATGGTGTTTTAATATATGAAGACTCGCCTCTTGTTAAGGCAATAAAAAACGGTCACGTCCTCGTTGTAGACGAAGCTGACAAAGCACCCACTCACGTTACTTGCATTTTGAAAACTTTAGTAGAATCTGGCCAGATGATTTTGAGTGACGGTAGAAGGATTGTACTAGAAATACCGCAGCAACAAAAAAATGAACACTACATCAAAATCCATCCAGATTTCCGTATGATTGTCCTAGCAAATCGTCCAGGATTCCCATTTCTTGGTAATGACTTCTTTGGTGCTCTCGGTGACTTGTTTAGTAGCAGAGCCGTGGAAAATCCTTCAAGAGAGTCTGAAATTGAACTTTTGAGGCAGTATGGGCCCCAAGTGCCCCAAAAAACGATAAAAAAATTGGTGGATATTTTTGGAGATTTAAGAAATATGGCTGATCAAGGGCTGTTGAATTATCCGTATTCAACTAGAGAGGTGGTCAATATTGTCAAGCATTTACAGGTATTTTTGTTTAGAAGCCTTAATGTTGTTTCTTAGTGGAATTTTTTGCAGCAATTTCCTGAAGCTGATCTGGAAGATGTTATCTTTAATGTCTTTGATTTTGACAGATTTAGCCCGGAAATTCAAGAAACATTGGGAGAAGTTTTACAAAGGCATGGCCTCTCCAAGAATTTAATGTCCAGTGAATATGTTGCAGCTAAACGTGCCAAGGAAAACGTCCAAGTTACTGTTAACAGGCACAGTGGGTAAGATACAAATAATTTTGATAAATATGTTTTTGATTCTTATCAACAAATAGCTTGGATGTTTCTTCTCCGAAACATGGCAAAGAAGACCCAAAAAATGAACCACACGTAGGTGGAAATACGTGGGCAGGAGGTACTGGAGGCAGAGATACTGCAGGTTTAGGAGGTAAAGGAGGACCATATAGATTGGATAAAGGTCACAAGGTACACCAGCTGTCGGACGAGGAAAAAGCTAATATTCCAGAACATGTTGCAAAAGCTGCTAGGGAAATGAACAGACGAGCTTTTGCTGAGAAACTTAAAGAAATTGGCATGTCCGGATATGATCATAACGTTTATGCTCAATTTTCTGATCCTGTTGCTAGACAAGTGCAATCTTTAAGGGTTATTTTAGGGAATCTTCAAGCTAAGAATAAGGAAAGGAATTGGTACAGGCATCAAACTTCTGGAGAGTTGGATGATGCTAAGTTAATTGATGGTGGGCAAAATTAATTTAAAAAAATATAATCATATATTTTGAGTGTTTTAGGTTTATTGGGAGAAAAAACCATATTTAGAAGACGAGCAGACAAAGAACCAGAAGTTGGGGCACCTCAAATTAAGCCCAAATATTTCAGAGTCTTAGTGGATGTTTCTGGAAGTATGTATAGGTGAGCATAATTTGCAAACAGTGGATATTTTTCAAGCAAAATTAATTATGTAGATTTAATGGTTATGATGGAAGATTGGATAGAGAATTGGAAGCAGTGGTTTTAGTAATGGAGGCTTTTGAAGGCTTTGAAGATAAAATCAAATACGACATTATCGGACATTCTGGTGAAGACCATCATATAAACTTTGTTTCCAGAGATAAACCTGCTAAAAATAACATGGAACGACTTGAAGTTATAAGAGTAAATATAAAATAAATATATACAAAAAAATATAAAATTCTATTCTAGAAAATGCACGCACATTCCCAATTTTGTTGGTCAGGTGACCACACTCTGGAAGCTACACAATCCGCAGTAAATAGTTTAGCTAATGAAGACTGTGATGAAGCAATGTTGGTACTATTATCAGATGCTAATTTGCAACGTTACGGTATTCCGCCTTCAAAGTTAGCTGAAGCCTTGACTATGAAGCAAAATGTTAGTTCTTATGCGGTGTTTATTGGGAGTCTTGGAGATCAAGCTGAAAGGTAACCTGAGTAATGATTTTGGGACATTTTCAAACAAACATCTTTTAGATTAACCCAAAAGCTACCTTCCGGACGAGCCTTTATTTGCAATGACACCAAAGAACTTCCCCAAATATTAAAACAAATTTTCTGGTCCTCTGTAAATATATGAATTTTTGTTAGCACAAATTTTGGTAAATAAATTATTTTTATATAAATGCTGTGTTATGCGTTGACTAATACGTAATATATGTATAGCGCGATATGGACTGTAAATTTTACTTTGCGGCGCAACCTCTAAATAATGGAAAAAACAAGGGGCAAACCACCTAGGAATTCTTTGCCAAAATTTAGAGGAATTTGTGGGGAATTTGAAGGAACTCATCGGAATTTATGAGAATTTGGGGAATTTAAATGAAACAATAATAAATGGAAATTTTTAAAAAATCTAGTTTTGTGTTGGACGTTGGACATTCATTTTTAATAAAGAAATTCTCCCAAAATTTCACATCATGATTCACAGGTCCAAATTTAAAAAACTCAAAAGAATAATGAGTACAGTTTTTGTAGGCTGATTTCCAAAATTCTTCATATTGTTATTTGCTTCTCACCTTCCCCTTTACATGCAAAAAGTTTCAAAATTTTCCCTCCTCTAGTTTTCCAGAAGAACTTTGAAATATGTGAGTGTATTCAATTAATTCAGTTATTGCAGGTCGATTTCCAAAATTCCTCATGTTGTTATTTTCTACTGAAAAAATTTAAAATTCTGAGAAAATGAGCTTCTAACCTTCCGCTTTACATGCAAAAAGTTTCAAATTTCTCCTTTCACTAGTTTTCCAGGAAAACTTTGAAATGTGTGAGACTGTATTTTCAATTAATTCAGTTTTTGTAGGTTGATTTCCAAGATTCTTCATGTTGTTAATTTCCACTGAAAAAATTTGAAATTTTGGGAAAATGAGCTGCTCACCTTCCTTTTAACATGCAAAAAGTTTCAAAATTATCCCTTAATTAGTTTTCCAGGAAAACTTTTCAATTTTGTGAGACTGTATTAATAATTATTTCAGTTTTTGTAAATTGATTTCCATGATTTTTCAGGTTGTTATTTTCCGATGGAAAATTTTGAAATTATGGGAAAATGAGCCTCTAACCTTCCTCTTCACACGCAAAAAGTTTCAAATTTTTCCGTTCACTGTTTTCCAGGTAAACTTCAAAATGTGTGAGACTGTATTTTCAATTAATTTAGTTTTTGTAGGTTGATTTCCAAGATTCTTCGTGTTGTTATTTTCCACTGGAAAAATTTGAAATTTTGGGTAAATGAGCTTCTCATCTTCCTCTTAACATGCAAAAAGTTTGAAAAATTTTCTACAATTATAGTTTTCCAGGAAAACTTAGAATTGTGTGAGACTGTATTAACCATTACATATTTCAGTTTTTGTAAGTGGATTTCCATGTTGTTACCTACTTTCCAATGGAAAAATTTTAAATTATGGGAAAATGAGCCTCCAACCTTCCTCTTCACATGCAAAAAGTATCACATTTTTTCGTTCACTAGTTTTCCAGGAAAACTTTGAAATGTGTGAGATATAGTATATCTTCAACTTATTCAGTTTTTGTAGGTTGATTTCCAAGATTCTTCATGTTGTTTTTTTCCACTGGAAAAATTTGTAATTTTGGAAAAATGAACTTCTCACCTTCCTCTTTACATGCAAAAAGTTTCAAAATTTTCCCTTCACTAGTTTTCCAGGAAAACTTTGAAATGTGTGAGATGGTATTTTCAACTAATTCAGTTTTTGTAGAGTGATTTCGAAGATTCTTCATGTTGTTATTATCCACTGAAAAAATTTGAAATGTTGGGAAAATGAGCTTCTCGCCTTCCTTTTAACATGCAAAAAGTTTCAAAATTTTCCCTTAATTAAGTTTTCCAGGAAAACTTTTGAATTGTGTGAGACTTCATGTTGTTATTTTCCACTAGAAAAATTTGAAAATTTGGGATAATGAGCCTCTAACCTGCCTCTTCACATGCAAAAAGTTCCAAATTTTGCCCTTCACAAGTTTTCCAGGAAAACTTTGAGATGTGTAAAACTGTATTTTTCTATTATTTCAGTTATTGAAGGTTGATTTCCAAGATTCTTCATGTTGTTATTTTCCACTTGAAAAATTTGAAATTTTGGGAAAATGAGCCTCTAACTTTCCTCTTGACATGCAAAAAGTTTCAAATTTTTTTCGGTGCACTAGTTTTCTAAGAAAACTTTGAGATGTGAGACTGTATTTTCAATTAGTTCAGCTTTTGTGGGTCTGTTTTTTTTTTTTAAAGATAATTCCCCAAGTCAAAAATTTAGTAACTATGTTGGCAACAAAAGCCTTTTCTACATAAAAAAATTTGAAAGCATTGACAATTTTACATTGTATTGCCAACATAATGTCAGTTTGACTTTTATCTTTAAAAAAAAAAACAGATTTTAGATTGATTTCCAAGATTCTTCATATTTCTATTTTACACTGGAAAAAATTGAAATTTCGGGAAAATGAGCCTCTAACCTTCCTCTTTACATACAAAAAGTTTCAAATTTTTCCGTTCACTAGTTTTCCAGGAAAACTTTGAAATGTGTGAAACTGTATTTTCAACTAATTCAGTTTTTGTAGGTTGATTTCCAAGATTCTTCATGTTGTTATTTTCCACTGGAAAAAATTGAAATTTTGGGAAAATGAGCTTCTAACCTTCCTCTTCACATGCAAAAAGTTTCAAATTTTTCCGTTCACTAGTTTTCCAGGAAAACTTTGAAATGTGTGAGACAGTATTTTCAACTAATTCAGTTTTTGTAGGTTGATTTCCAAGATTCTTCATGTTGTTATTTTCCACTGGAAAAATGTGAAATTTTGGGAAAATGAGCTTCTCACCTTCCTCTCTAATTGCAAAAAGTCTCAAATTTTTGCCTTCACTAGTTTTCCAGAAAAACTTTGAAATGTGTGAGACGGTATTATCAACTAATTCAGTTTTTGACAAGTTGATTTCCAACATTCTTCATATTGTTATCTTCCACTGGAAAAAATTGAAATTTTGGGAAAATGAGCTTCTCATCTTTCTTTTTGCATGCAAAAAGTTTCAAAATTTTTCCTTCACTAGTTTTCCAAGAAAACTTTGAAATGTGTGAGACGGTATTTTCAATTAATTCAGTTATTGTAGGTTGATTTCCAAGATTCTTCAGACAAAACATGATTCAATTGAAAAAGAATAACACAATAATGTATTTAAGCCATATTTATTAATAGATTCTGAGAAAATAAAATATTCATCCTGTTATTTGAGTCTGAAAATATGATTTGCAAAGCTAACAGTTGTGAAAACTAAAACAAAACTCATAGAAATAAAAATAATAATAAAATATTGACCAAACCAAAAAGCAGATTCTCTTTTTGGGTCAATATAGATAATTTGCTTCTAAACCTAAGAACAAACAAAAAAAAAAACGAAACAAATACCAAGTAAGTAACAAAAATAATATTGTATTGTATCTAATCTTTGGTTTTGTTCAGATACTGTAGTTAGAATTATAACGGCTACTGAAAATAATCCTGTTTATAGAAATGAGCACGAAACATAATACATACCACTCTATCCTACACTATAACCAACTACCTATTTCTCTAACCTAAGGAAAGTATTTCTTTTTTTTTTTTTTTCACATAGACTAGAAAAAATATATTCTCTATCACAAATATTATGCTTTCTATACAATAGCAAAATATAAATCTGGAATATATTTTTATTACATAAATTACTTTTATATATGGTCAAAACTATTGGATTTGTGGATTCTTCAACTTCATATATAATTTTCTAATTTGATCTTGATCTAGCTAATATCACATTTTGAGCTAAGATAGAACCAGACATGCAATATGAGATTTCATATAAAATACATTTTTTGAGTGACAATTTGAAGGAACTTAGTAATGTTTGTATTATTAAAAAATCAGATCTCAAAGAAGGTCCCAGATCTTATATTTTCTATAAATGAAGATTCTTAATTATGTACATGATTCCCAGGAGAAAAATCCATAAATTCAATTGGTTGAATAGTAATACATACAAACTAAGTAACCAGGAATGGATTTTACTTCAAGTGAGATTTAGGAATATGTAAGAGCACCAATTGATACCAACTAAAAATAATATTTAAAATAAGAAAAAAATCCATCCCTAGAAACTCATTCCCTATAACAACAATAATAATATCTGGGTAACCATATAATTTTATTACTAACATAAAATAAATTTAGGAATTTTCCAATTTATTATTTCTCTATAAAGAGCAATAATTGTTTGAATAGTGGGTGTTGTATAATAAAACCTATAATAGGTGTCAATTGGGATTATTATTAAAAAAATCATATGTCATTGGGGAAATTCTACATAAACGCCCCTGCAAACAAAATTGCTTTTTACATTGGGAAATACTCATCTGGGATTTCTAAAAAAGCAGCAAGTATAATTTACCTGTTTAAATGACGGCTCTATACTCTTGCAAATAACTTGACCTTTGAGATTTGGCCCAATCAAGAGTGTAGCAATTTGGATATGTTAAATTGAAAAATTGTCAACAAAAAATACATGCTGATTTTCCATTAGGAAATCCTATAGTATACATAAATACTTACTTAAAATTCTAACACAGTTTTCTTTGTACCTGTTCAAGGTGTGTAAGGTGGTGGTGGTAGACAATAAGGGGGTGGAGGTGTGGGACACTGGAAATCTCTCATATCATCAAAACCATCTATAAGGCAACGATCGTCGTCTTGGTATGACGTTTTATATGGCAGTACCAGGTTGTAGATCAAGCCTAAAGCTTGAATGCCACCTGAAATAATTGAAAATGTTAATCAGTTTCCTCAGTGTATCAAGCCTAAGTAATTTACCTGCAAATGTTATTAAATAAAACCCAAACCCATAAGAAATATCATAGTAGCTTTTAGGGTTTTCATCTTCGATGGCATGTTGCAGAAGCACCATTACAAGATAGGATGTTGGTGCTATTGTCATTATAAATATAACTGAAAATGTACAACTTAATTATTTGATTTGTGATGTTTAACAACTTCTAACATACTTGTTGCAGCTCCAGGTACACAAAACCTCCTAAGCATTCTGTAAAAAGGCGCCCTTGGCCCAATTATATCCAAAAAAAAACCAAGAAGTGCGAAAATAATTGCCATAAAACATAGTAATATTATTATTCTCATCATGTTGACTATCAACGAATCCAGACAATCAAATTCTAAAATGAAACATTTACAATAAGCTTTTGACTAAAGGACATAATCTTACCTCTGTAATCAATCCCTGTAGTGCTGTACCCGAACCAGAAAAACTCTCCCAAAGTCAAATAAGGGACACAAACGTTACCATCGATGATAAACCAACTGAGGTCCCCCATAGACATGCATATGAGAGTGATAGACAGCATATGAAAAGTTGCTGAAATAAGGTTTCTTTCATCTCTTTGTTGGAAAAGTTCCTTGAGGTATGCGAAATTTATTTGGTTCAAGCACATTGTTTCTGGAAAAATAAACAATAATAGTAAGTTATTATGAAATTTTGGATAGTATAAGTTATAATAGAGAATTAGGTATGTTATATTGTACGGTTATAAGTTTGGATTATTAAAAATTTTGGAAAGTCATAACTATTTTTTCTATTAAAGATAGAAAGCTGAAATTTTCAGCGATTCTTGGGTTGAATTTATAAATTTTTCAATTTCCTGACGGTCCCTTTTTTATAGATTTTGGCTTCAAATCTTTTCAGTGAAAGTTGTCAATTCAATCCTAAAAGTTGAATCAATAAATTATTGAGAAGCATTGGAGTTTCAGTGGTTTTCCTTTAAATATTACATGAGGTTGCAGAATACGGGAAATGGTGTGCATCTGCGGTAGAGCATAAATAAATTTAAAAAAAGCCAATTCACAAGTTTTTGAAAGGTGCCCACAGAAGAAATATTGTAAAATGGAGAAAAAATAAGTATGGAACCATTGAATGGAAATAATAATTATCGCACGTGGAAATTTAGGGTTGAATTACCTAATATTAGCAGAATATGATGTATTAGCTTCTGTAGAAAATGAGGTAGCCCTAGAAGATAACACAGCGAAGAAAAAAGATAACAAAACGAAATCACTTTTGGTTCAGTGCATAGAAGATTCAGAAATAGAAAGTTTATGTGAATCTAAAAATGCCTACCAAATGTGGAAAGTACTGGAAATAAATACGAAAAGAAGAGATTACCAGGACAGTTGTTTTTGAAAAGTAAACTACTGAGCATGAAGCTGAAAGAAAATGGATGTCCAGTCAAGTTTATTGAGGAATTTGATACTATAGTAAAACAGTTAAAATCAGCAAACATGAAAATTACAGATGAAGATTTAATATGTAATTTTCTTTTAAGTTTACCTAGTTCATATAAAACATTCGTTACAGTGGTAGAAAATTTACCAGGTGTGATTTATGAAATTATAAAAAATAAATTCCTTGCAGAAAATGAAAAAAGACAGGTAGGTTTACAAAGTGAGAGACAGATAAAAGAAAATGAGAAAGCTACTCCAACAGCTTTCATGTTACAACGTAGCTGTTTTAAATGTGGAAAAATTGGGCATTACAAAAGGAAATGTCCTGAAAATGACGGTCAAATCCTGGGTCAAGGAATAAATCGTGAATATGCTGATAGAGGCAGATACAGAGAATGGTCTCGAGGAAGTCGAGGTGGCTCGTTTAGAGGAAATCGAGGAAGTTTCATGAGAGGTAACAATAATGGTTTTAGAGGACAGTACAGAGGAAATCAAGGTAGGGGAAGTTTTAATAATTTTTATCGAAGTAGTTATGCTAATAATGAGCAAAATGTTAATTCAAATTATTCAAATTTCCAAAATGATCCAGATAATAACAAATCGGGTAACAATGCTTTTAATCAAAATGTTTGTAGGGAAAATAATGATAAAAATGTTTGTTTTATGAGTGAAAAAAATATTCAAACTGTGTACAAACGAATTATAATTATAAACGCACAGGTTTAAATGATTTAATATTTTATATTAATTCGGGCTGTACTGATCACATGGTCAACAAGGAAGAATATTTTTCAAATTTATGCATGTTAGAAAATCCAATAAAAGTTGCAATAGCAAAAGATTCAAGTTTCTTGTTGGCTGTGGGTGTTGGAAATATCGAGTTTTATAGTCATTTTCAAAATAAGAGGATAAAATGTACTATTCAAAATGTATTCTACATACCTAAGAAAAAACCTACTTTGTGTCAAAAAATTATAAATTACGAATATCAAAGTATTGATAGATAGTAAAGATGAGATTTTAGGGATCGGTAATAGGAATAATCTATATGAGATAACATTTGAACTCACTTCACCTGGATGCCTCAATGTTAAATGGCACAAGAGATATGCCCATATAGGTTTTAGTAGCGGTTTAAAACAAATTATAAGGACTGATATGGTTCAAGGGATTGCTAAATATTTGAAAATTCATGACGTAAGCTTTTGTGAGCCTTGTATCAAAGGAAAAATTATGAGAATTCTTTTTGGCACTCGTACAAAAAGTACCAGAATTCTTGAAATTGTACCTCGAATTGTACATTCAGATTTATGTGGACCTATTACTCCTGTAGCTATAGATGGTCGTAGATATTTTCTAACATTAACATGGTTTTTCAAATTTTTCAATCGCATTTATTTTAAAAACTAAATCTGAAACGTGTTGAGTATTCACAAATGATGGAAGCTAAATTTACTTGCAAAATTCAAAAATTGAGATCTCGATTGAGATGTGATAATGGTGGGAAATACATTTCTAAAGATATTACTATTAGAATAATAATTATTGATTATACAATACAATATTCGCCTCAACAAAACGGGAAGGCTGAACACAAGAACAGAAGCTTGTTGGAGCGTAGTAGAACAATATTGGAAGAGGCAGGTATGTCTAAAGTTTTTTGGAGTGAGGCAGTTAGAACCGCAAATTATGTTATGAACAGAGGAATTTCTTCAAATTTAAATGTTACTCGAGCAGAAATTTGGTATAATTCAAAAACAGACATCAGTAATTTTCCCGGTAATTTTAGAATTTTTGGAAGCTGTGTTTTGGTTGTGTTGCATCGAGTGTTGCATATAGCCATATACAAAAGCAATTTCGGGATAAATTTGAATCTAAAGCTGAAAAATGTGTTATGGTAGGTTATGCTCCAACTGGGTATAGATTATGGAACATAAGAAAAGAAAAAAATATAATTTCAAATTTCAAGGGATGTAGAATTTAATGAGAATATTTTTTATTTTAAAGATAGGTCAGTTCAAGTAGGTAGTGAAATAGAAATGAACGAGAGTCAGAATGAAAGTTTAAGAAATAGAAAAGAGGAAAATATAAGACATACAGAAAGGTAAACAAACTATTAAAATACCAGCTAAATATGATGATTTTGAACCGAGTTTTGAACTTTATATGGCATTTGATGCAACATCTTTTGTAGATGATGTTCCTAGAAATTTTAATGAAATATGCTCGGAAATATGTAATAGATCTGATAGTAAATTATGGTTAAATGCAATAGATAGGGAACTAAATTCAATTTATGAGAATGAGACATGGCAAATAGTTGAGATTCCTAGAAATGAAAATATAATTGACACAAAATGGGGTTTTTCTTACAAGAATTTGGAAGAAAATGAGAGAAATAGATATAAAGCTAGGTTGGTAGTTAGCGGTTTCTTACAAGAAAAAAATGTAGATTATGAGAATATCTATTCTCCAGTTGCTAAAATGTCTACTAAGATTTTTACGAGGATTTTTATTAATAATTGGAAACCAGTTTAAATTCTATTTTTATCAACTCGATGTGAAAACCGCGTTTTTAAGTGGAATTATAAATGAAAATATTTATATTTATCCTCCTGAAGGAGTAGAGTGTGAAAAGAATAAAGTGCTAAAACTGAAAAAATCATTATAGTTTGAGACAGTCAAGGAAATATTGGAATGACAAAATAAATTCATATTTGTTGACATTAGGCTTTGAAAGATCTGAGAACGATTACTGTTTGTATTTTATGCTCGATTTTATGAATAAATTTTCTGAGGTGGCTTATTTGTTAATATATGTGGATGATATTATTATTTCTTTATTTCTGGTAAAGACATAAACGAGGACATAAATTTATTAGGTCAATCAAATAAAATCAAAATTAATGATAAGTTTTAAAATGGCAGATAAAGGGGAATTGAAGAACTTTTTGGGATTGGAAATCAAGTATAACAGAGATAAGGGAGTTTTGAAGATAAATCAAGAAACTTATATAAGGGGTTTATTAAAAAATTTGAAATGCAACACTGCAAAATATCAGCCATTCCAATAGAACCAAAATTAAATGTTGACATTTGTGAAGAACCTGATAAACAGAGAAGCCATTTCGAGAATTGATAGGGTGTCTCATGTACCTTATGTTGGGTTCTAGACCTGATATTTGTTGTGTTGAATTATTTCAGCAGATTTCAAGACAGAGCTTCTGATACAGCTTGGAATCACTTAAAAAATATACTCAGATCGAGACTCAGATATTTGAAAAGGACACAAGGATTGGGACTGGAATTTAAGAGAGAACATACGAATTTTAAATTAGAATGTTTTGTGGACACAGATTGGGCTGGAGGTATTCATGATCGTAAATCTGTATTCGGTTTCGTATTTAAATTATACAATAATACACTAATGTGGTCAACACAAAAACAACAATGTGTTTCTTTGTCTACTACAGAAGCAGAGCCTCGAGCAGAGCTAGTAGCCTTATGTAGTGCTGTGTCGGAGGGCCTGCGGTTATTGAAGCTTGTGGAAGAATTTTGAATAAGTGTGAGACCATTATTGAAATATAATTCTGTTTTAGAACATATTAAGTAATAGAAAGGTTTTCAAGATAGAATATATTTCAACAAATGATCAATTAGCAGACTTGTTTACGAAGGGTTTAAGACTTGTTTTGCTTAACAGATTTGATGTCTTTTGGGCATGAAAGATTTAAATGATTTTAGTGAGGAGGGGTGTTAAGATTTCTGTTTTATGATAAACTAAAATCCGAGGTAAAATCATATTAATCCATATATTCTATAGTTTTGTAATTGTTCAGTTTATATAGGCATAGATTAGGTACCTACGAGGGTAGAGGGTACCTATAGATTACTTGGATTGGGACACCAGAAAAAACGTTAGAAGTTTCACTTTTCAGTAAAAGTTGTCAATTCAATCCTAAAAGTTGAATCAATAAATTATTGAGCGGTATTGGAGTTTCAGTGGTTTTATTTGAAATATTACATGACTTACAGAGCTTGTAACACCCAGTTTTCCTCTATAGCACTATAATAAAAGCAAAACTATATAGACACCGAGATAGACACATATTGCTAGAGCATGCAAACAAAAAATTTAACTGTTCAACTTTTTGTGTGTAAAATTACCTATTGAATTTGGGAAATTTTAGTAATAGGCCACACACAGAGATACAAATGTCTACTACTCAATTATAACCACTATGTAATGTTTCAAGACTTTGATATTAATGATAATGTGCACAAAATCCATACAATAACCACTGTAGACAGCATATAAAACAAGTATATAAAACACACCAAAGTAAACTCGAATACAATTTGTTTACAGGGGATTTTCCCGGTAGGTGTTATTGATTATCAAAAGCAATTAGTAAATTAAAAAGTGTATTGAAGCAATGCAACGTTTTGACCTTGCAGTTTTTATTTTGCGACTTACCAAAGAAAATCTAGTATCCAGTCAGTCTAGGAATGCAAATACTCTCAAAAATTCATGGTGACAACACTAGCGAAATTTAAAACTGCTCCAACACGCCTCCCATGTAGAGATATTTTCTGATAATTTGTGGCTTTGTTTTGATGCTGTTATCAAATTTTCTATAAATAAAAATTAAGCTTTGATGATGTTTAGAAATACATTTTTGCTTTGCCTTGGTAAACATCTGATTTTGACGTTTCTCTGACATTTGGAGAAGAGGTGTGCGAGCAAATCGAATCTCTTTCCTTGTCTTTTTCACCTTATAAGACAAAGAACGACATAAAGTATAGGTATGTATTCATAGATGGCGCTATTTTTTAAGAAGAATCTGAACCTAACCTCAAAACAGCAAGGCAATCAAATCAACAAGGCACTGTTCTTGTACTTGTAAATTTCTTGCAATATTGCATTTATATTTTAGGTGTAAGGTGTAACAGCCACTATGGCAGAGAGAATTCTCAAATATCTCTCGGAAAATGACGAAGTCAACTCCCTCAAGTTGGCAGAAATATTTAACGAGGACCATCAAAAAGTTGTCGGTGCTCTAAAGAGTATACAAGCAAATGGGGACCTTGTCATTGCTGAACCTGTTAGCGAGAAGAATATTGAGCTAACTGAGGAGGGAAAGCTGGTTGCTGAGAATGGTAAGTTCAATTTACAGATTACCATATAAAAAAACATTCATATTCCAACATAAAGAAACGGTATCAAGTCAAGTGGCAACTACCTGAATTTCATATTCAAACCCCTCTTGAGATCAGTCCTAGTCCTAAAATTATTTAGAAAAGAGTTTCATTTTTATTTTAGATGCGGTTTTATTCATTTTTCAAGTAGACTAAACAAGGTTAAACATTTTGTAGTGTCTGACGTCACACACATAACCTCTCTTCTGATGGGGGACAAACAAAACGTTTAAGGACTGCTCGAAGGACTATTTACACACATTAGTTGTTACCCGGACTTGTCTAAATAGGTAACAGGTTCATTTGGGAGTCATTGATGCTCATTAGCAATATTTTATTTTTCACTGACACTGGTACTGAACTGATGGCATGTGTGTAAATAGTCTTTAAACTCTTTTTTCTACTGACGTTTCATAATAGCAACTTTTCGATTGTCATTTCAGTTTTGAAACGACATTCTTTTAGGCACTGAGTGCGTGAAAGTTACTTTTAGGCACTCAGTGCGTAAAAGTGACTTTTGAATGCGTAAAAGTGACTTATGAGTGCGTAAAAGTAATTTTTAAGCACTAGTGCCTAAAAGTGTCATTCATTATTCAGAAATAAAAAACACACTAAACACATATTTGAATTTTGTTTTGTATTTATTATGAATATTGAAAATGGAATTACTGAATTGAACGTTTGGGTTACTCAAAACAGAACTTTGTGTTATTACCTACTTTCTAGGATTTTAATTATTGATGTCGAATTTTGAAAAGAAAATCGCATGAAAAGTGTCAGGTGTCAAGTAAAAGCAGGTAACAAAGATTTTGGGTGTAATCGACTTATTCACATGAAATAAAATTGTGTTTTTTTATTATAAAATGCCAGTAGAAAAAATCTTGTATACAATACGTTACGAAACGATGTCTTTTAGTCACTCGACGTGTTGTCCAACTCGGCTTTGCCTCGTTGGACAATTTTCACGTCGCGTGCCTAAAAGACGCTCATTTCGTAACTTATTGTATAAATAGCTATTTTCTACTGACGTTTCATAATAGCAACTTTTCGATTGTCATTTCAGTTTTGAAACGACATTCTTTTAGGCACTGAGTGCGTGAAAGTTACTTTTAGGCACTCAGTGCGTAAAAGTGACTTTTGAATGCGTAAAAGTGACTTATGAGTGCGTAAAAGTAATTTTTAAGCACTAGTGCCTAAAAGTGTCATTCATTATTCAGAAATAAAAAACACACTAAACACATATTTGAATTTTGTTTTGTATTTATTATGAATATTGAAAATGGAATTACTGAATTGAACGTTTGGGTTACTCAAAACAGAACTTTGTGTTATTACCTACTTTCTAGGATTTTAATTATTGATGTCGAATTTTCAAAAGAAAATTGCATGAAAAGTGTCAGGTGGCAAGCAGGTAACAAAGATTTTGGGTGTAATCGACTTATTCACATGAAATAAAATTGTATTTTTTTATTATAAAATGCCAGTAGAAAAAATCTTGTATACAATACGTTACGAAACGATGTCTTTTAGTCACTCGACGTGTTGTCCAACTTGGCTTTGCCTCGTTGGACAATTTTCACGTCGCGTGCCTAAAAGACGCTCATTTCGTAACTTATTGTATAAATAACTATTTTCTACTGACGTTTCATAAAAGCAACTTTTCGATTGTCATTTTAGTTTTGAAACGACATTCTTTTAAGCACTGAGTGCGTGAAAGTTACTTTTAGGCACTCAGTGCGTAAAAGTGACTTTTGAATGCGTAAAAGTGACTTTTGAGTGCGTAAAAGTAATGTTTAAGCACTAGTGCCTAAAAGTGTCATTCATTATTCAGAAATAAAAAACAACACTAAACACATATTTGAATTTTGTTTTGTATTTATTATGAATATTGAAAATGGAATTACTGAATTGAACGTTTGGTTTACTCAAAACAGAACTTTGTGTTGTTACCTACTTTCTGATATTTCAATTACTGATATCGAATTTTGAAAAAAAAATCGCATGAAAAGTGTCAGGTTTTAAGCAAAAGCAGGTAACAAAGATTTTGGGCGTAATCGACTTTTTCACATGAAATAAAATTGTGTTTTTTTATTATAAAAAGCCAGTAGAAAAAATCTTGTATACAATACGTTACGAAACGATGTCTTTTAGTCACTCGACGTGTTGTCCAACTCGGCTTTGCCTCGTTGGACAATTTTCACGTCGCGTGCCTAAAAGACGCTCATTTCGTAACTTATTGTATAAATAGCTATTTTAGTCTCCCCATCGAAAGTGAGGTTATGTGTGTGACGTCGCAGTTTGCATCCTCAAAGGTAATACTTGTACTATGGATTTGTATCTAATACCAAGCTACTGGAGAATCTAGGTACGAAATGTATTTCTCTGAAACAAAGTAAGTAGGCATGAAAAACAGTTCCTGGGGTACATTTTTGAATTGTGAGTGCCCTACCTGGAACAATCAACACTTTTCTTCCAGCAAGTAAGCAGCCTATTTGAAAAATTATTTCAAGCAAGGTTCCCTTATATTAGGTAGGTATTTATAGCAGATCTTTGTTCATGAATGAGCTCATGGCGTTTCCAGCTTTCTAATGCATTATCAGACAATCTCACCCACTGTAGCTGCTTAAACTTCATAGCTGTGGAAACTGGCCCTGGCATTCGTTTCTTTCCAAAAACAGATTTTAGTACCATTTGTTGGTCTTTAGTAATTTTTTCGTTGACCCAGGTCATAGAGTCATAGGCACCATCCTCGGCATCATCTAAGTACCTTGAAGACTATCTGCAATTGACAGCTTCACAGCTGAGAATTCTGGCCTTCAAACGTCTGAATTTGAAATGTTTTAATTTTGTTCCAATTTTGATAACAAAGTTTTTCTCAAAAAATCCAAATTAACAAAACCTGAGAACCTAACACAGATATAAGTATTGCAATTAAACTGTGAGGCAAACTCAAACCCATAATTTTTTGGAATAGCTGTACCAGGAGGTAAACCACCTAGGAATTATTGTCACCAGCCTAGGGAAATATGTGGTAATACCAGGAAATACAGGGAAATAGTAGGAAATACATTGCAATATGGAGAAATATAAGGGATTATTAGGAAATATCAAGGTATTATTAGGAAATATCAAGGTACCTATTATCAAAAAATATTGAGGAAATATCCAGGTATTATTAGGAAATATCGAGTTATCATTAGGAAATAATGGAAATATGGAGGAAATATCGTGAAATTATTAGTGCATGTAACATAACGAGCGCACCCGAGGTCTATAAATCTAGCAGTCCCAAGGTGGAAAAAAACTTCGGGAACTATATAATAATTAGGTGCTTTTTAGGTGCTAATTAGGGGTTCTAATTAAAAATTAGGTGCTTCTTTAGTTTTTGAGAAAATCAAAAAAAACTAAGGGACTGCTAGGTTTATGAAAGCTAGCAGTCCCTTATAGTAAAAAATATTTTTTCAAAATTTTTCTTTGTATCAGAATTAGGTGCTTTTTAGGTGCTCCTAAATGGTCCAAGAAAAAATAGAATTGATTAATTATTAACTGAGTTACAGATTTTTTTTTAATTATTAGGGGACTGCTGGCTTTACGTTTACATGTTGATGTGTCAGAATGGCAAAAAAACTTCGGGATCTATATAATAATTAGGTGCTTTTCTCGGTGCTTTTTAGGTGCTAATTAGGGCCTCTAATTAAAAATTAGGTGCTCCTCTAGTTTTTGAGAAGATCAAAAAAAAAAACAAAGGGATTGCTAGGTTTATGAAAGCTAGTAGTCCCCTATAGTAAAAAATATTTTTCCAAAATTTTCTTTTGTATCAGAATTAGGTGGTTTATAGGTGCTCTTAAATAGTTGAAGAAAAAATAGAATTGATCAATTATTAACTGAGTTACAGATTTTTTTTTAATTATTAGGGGATTGCTGGCTTTATGTTTACATGTTGGTGTGTCAGAATGGCAAAAAAACTTCGGGATCTATATAATAATTAGGTGCTTTTTAGGTGCTAATTAGGACCTCTAATTAAAAATTAGGTGCTCCTCTAGTTTTTGAGAAAATCGAAAAAAACTAAGGGATTGCTAGGTTTATGAAAGCTAGTAGTCGCCTATAGTGAAAAATATTTTTGCAAAATTTTCTTTTGTATCAGAATTAGGTGCTTTTTAGGTGCTCTTAAATAGTCGAAGAAAAAATAGAATTAATTAAGTAATTATTAACTGAGTTACCGTTTTTTTTTTTTTAATTAAAAGGGGACTGCTAGCTTTCATAAACCTAGCGGTCCCTTAGTTTTTTTTGATTTTCTCGAAAACTAGAGGAGCACCCAATTTTTAATTAGAGGCCCTAATAAGCACCTAATTAATATATAGATCCCGAAGTTTTTTTGCCATTCTGACACACCAACAAGTAAACGTAAAGCCAGCAGTCCCCTTATAATTAAAAAAAAAAATCTGTAACTCAGTTATTAATTAATCAATTTTATTTTTTCTTCGACTATTTAGGAGCACCTAAAAAGCACCTAATTCTGATACAAAAGAAAATTTTGGAAAAATATTTTTTACTATAGGCGACTACTAGACCGTCAGATAGTGACATATTTAGATGCCCCATTTTCGCATACAAGTCTCGAAGAGGGTTGAAAAATACATGGATTTTGAGTAGGATGAAGGTATTTTCACGGGTGGCTCCTGGGGATAACATATGGAAAATTCGTTTTTCCATAACGGAAATGAAAGACGTCCTGGTGCCCATATTTTCTCACAAGCTGTGTTCACCAAAGGATTAAATAATAAATTTTGACTTCGGGAAAATAAAGAAGGGGGTGTTGCAGGTGGCTAAAAGTTTGAAATAAGGGCGTAATCTTGTAAGAAAAAATCGGGATTTTGGGCTATTTTTCCACACAAACCCATCGGAAGGATGAAAATCTACAAAGTTGGCAGCAAGAAAACATATTGGCTTGAGTATCGCGA